AGAACGCCAGTCTCCTCTGTGTGCCACCTGCCAATCTCCTATACATGCCACCTTCCTACCGCCACCTGCTCGAGTGCTCATTCAGGCTGCTATTACGCTCCTACCTGCCAGAAAACCAACCAAAGAACCTCAGTCCATATAGAAGGCTTCTTTGGCTGTGTCAGGGATAGAAATGGTTATAAGCTAATGGCTTAACAATGTAAACAGCTATGTATCCTGTCCCTAACCCCATCTCCCCATGCATCCCAGAAGGCGAGGCCTTTTCTCCAGCACTCAGATCCTGGTGCTACTCCCCACTGGCTTCTCAGCCTTTCCACTGACGGATCCATGACCACTGGCTGCCTGGGCCACTCGTGTTTTCTGGTCACTCCAGGCAGGGCAGCCATCCTGGCACACAGCAGCCTCGTCAGCGAGTGAGCAACTTCCCCTCCTCAAACCCTAACCAGCCCAGATGCCTTTAGACCACGGGGTTCTCCTGGCTCAGCTTCACCTCAGCAGTTGCTCTCGGTTCCTGACATTCTGACATTCCCCAAGAAAGAGGAGTGTGGTTCCTGCTGTCAGCATCCTTTATTCGTCACAGTTCTGTTTGGTCCTAGGGGACTGCAGGGGATCCGGGCTGAAATGAGACCATCCTGCCAGCACCCTTCCTACCCCAAGCCAGTGGGAACCATCAGTGAGTACACCCAGCCTCCCTCCCTCCTCCTAGTTTATGTGACGATCTGGGCTGGGTTTCAGATGCCCTGAGAGGCCCTCAGCCGTACCTGATCCCACACCAACACACCACCTAAGTCCTCAAGAGCAACACCATTACCTGCTGACAGTCTCAGGTCACTGGAGACAAGGGTCCAAGGGTAGGCCCAAGAGACCACCGATCCGGAATTAGAGGGGTGGGCTGCTGTCGTGGGGAAGCCTGGCCATCAGCCTGCCGGCAGCACCGGGCCCCCTGCTGCTCCTCGTAAATGCCAGCTGGGCTCTGTCAAGGGCTCTGCGCTGACTGTTCCCCAAGCAGGGAAACGCTCTCCCCAGAGAGCTCACTCTTCACCCCCTTCAGGACTCTGCTCAGCATTGCTCTCGGGGAGGCCTTTCCCAATCTACGTGGCCCAGCAAATCCCCACCCAACACTCCTCCTCCCCCTTCTGTGACTTATTTTCCTCCACAGCACTGTCCCTACCTGATAGATTTCATATGTTACTTAACCTGTCAGCTCCTCGGGGGCACAGGTTCGGTCTGTTTCGTTCACTGCTCTGTGACACCTCACACCCAGCACAGCACCTGGCAATACAGACACTCAGAGGTCTCTGCTGGACGTCGTTAAGGAGAAGCAAAGCCAGACACTAGTTAAAGGCAGTAAAGACAGTCCATTCGGCACACACTGCAAGAGGGGAGAGAGACTTCGGTCCAGAACCAAGCCCAACTTCAATCCACAGACAGGCGACTGGACATCTTAAAAGAAGAATGAGGTTATGAGGAGGGGGAACAGGTGGGGCTCAAGCAGTGGACAATTACAAAAAGCAGGGAGGGTGGTCAGTCCTTGTCCACGAGGTGAGGCCACCTGTGTCGGTCTGTCCTGGTCTCCTGGAGACTGGGAGACGGAGGCCCTGTCCTCCCTGGTCACCTTTCAGAGGAATGGGTTTCAGGTCCTTGAGAAGGATACTCCGGGTTGCAGGGGATACAGATACATCTCAAAGGGACAGAGAGAGGATTACAGTTGTGAGTTCTTCTAATAAATGATTAATAGAAGGGAGGTCACGGGCCTCTCCTCAGATGTTGGCTGGAAGTAAGGGGAAATCTTTTTGGCAGCCCCGCGCTTTCCCAAACAGGAACTCTGGAGGGGCCAGGGCATCCCAGGGGCATGGCCTCAGGCTGCTGGAAGTCATGTTAGAGTTTACTCAAGTCTCTGAGCATGTGCATTACTGTGGGGTGAAGGGTGAGGGAGGGGCACAACGCTGCGCTGAAAGCTGCAGTTCTTACAGGCCAAAGCTGATCCTTGGTCAAGAAGAGGGCTCAGAGGAGCCTGATTAAAGTTTGGTCAAAGGGGAATGTCTTTGTGGATGGATGGACAGATGGATGGGTGGGTGAATGGATGGGTGGGTGGGTGGAGGATGGGTAGGTGGAGGGGGTAGAAGCATTGGTAGGAAAGGGGTCAAGATGTTAAGATCCAAACTCAGATATGAAGTAGAAATCACTTCAGAGAAAAAGGGAAAATCGCCCACTTTTTCCAACAACGCCCTCTCCAGATTCCTGTGATGGGCACACTAAGGCTCCCACTCACCCATAAAACCATTAACGGGAACAAGCCGATAGTTCACCCCAGCCCTTCCCAGCCTGCACTTGCTTCCCACAGGATATTTTCCAGGCCTGAGTTTGCTCCCTGCTTACAATTCATATTAAAAACAGATCCTAAGGAGTTTCCAGGAAGGTCTCCTGCGGAGCTGAAGCTATCTGTTCCTATTAACTTTTTATTAATGAAGCATCTTTCGGTAGTTCATTTTTTTCCCTTTCCCCTTGGCAGCCGTCTCCGAGATGCAGAAGAGCTTTAACCCACTTTCCTCCCTTTCCCGTCCCCGTCTCAGCTTCCCTCCGCCTCCAGCTCACACTCGGATCCAAAAACGACCCGTGTGTGAGATCACAAGGCAGGCCTGGTTCTCCAGGTAACCACCCGGTTCCAGTAGCTCCACGCAGCCCTAGGTTATAGCAATTTGCATTTTCTCAGCAGCTCACCTGCAATCTTAGCCAGATTTCTTTTTTTGTCTTTTCAATCATACGACAGACATTAAAAAAAGAAAAAGCATGTTTATAATTTACATTTGAACATAATTTGGAGACAGGGCAGATTCAGAGTTTGTGAAGCTTCATGTTTACATGGGGAGAGGGGAGTGTGCTCCTTATTTAAAAAGAATCCAAAATGACAAATACAAACTTCTATGACCATGTGAGCACACTGTCAGCGGCCCTCCCAGGGGTTTGGACCAAGTCTGAATGAGGGGCCCTGAAGCTTAAGATTCATTAGCTCCCCAGTCAATCTGCCTCTGCTGGGAGACAGAAAAGGCTAGAGAGGTTTATACTGCAGCATTAAAATCTCTGGAAAACCGCTAAGCATAACAGTCTTCTATTACATCAATCCTCTCGATACTATTCTTATCTCTCTTTCACAAACCTCCACCCCTGCTGTTCCCTCTAATTTGGCAGCAGCAATTCATTATAAAGGTGCATGTGCTGGGCTGGGGTTGGGCATCTTTCCCCTGTTTGGGCTCTAACAATCTAGCACTGTGTCAATTATGTAACAGCCAAAACAGGGAGTGTAAGGGAATACGAAAAGCATCATCGTAGTTCTTACATAAGCCTTCACAAACCATCCATAAGATCTGCCCCCCAGATCGGGATACTCGCAATTACATAAGGTAGACAGAAAACACTGATTCAGCAGCCAGGTTTACTTCCGACCTTAAAAACAAAAAAAGCTCTTTTTGCACTTAATTTGCTAGTCTCTACTAACCAAGTAAGTTTTCAATTTGATGGAGAAAGCAATCTTTGATAAGACTTGATGATCTTTTCACCTAAACATAAAGGAATATCCTGACAGTGCTACCCAACTTCACTGATACCTCTGCACAAAGAAATGTCCCACTGAGGATTCCCCCACACATTCTGCATGGAATCATGGGTCCCTGACAAACATCAACTATTCCTTGCAGGTTTAAGAAAAGTCAAGGTATTCTGACAAAATACAAAAGTGTACATGATATCATCCTTCCACACATCTCCTTTCCAATACCATTTTTCTCTCTCCATATTTCTAACCACTTGCTTTTACTTTCCTTAAGCCACTGCAGCCACACCTTGAGCTAAAAGTGACAAATTAAAAGAAAACAGTGCTATCCAATGGGTCTCAACCCTGGCTACACATTAGAATCACAAAGGAGCTTTTAATATTACAAGTGTCATAGCAACACCAAAAACCAGTTAGAACAGAACATTGGGGTAGTGGTCACAAAAGGAGGTGCCTAGACACTAGTAAATCTGATGTTTCTACTTTTGTCTTCTTCTTACCTGAAAAAAAAAAACCTATAAATACAAGCAGAGGTTGGGGGGGTGGGGAGAGATCTTAAGTAACTGGCAGTTCATAATTACTAAGTTTCCATCCAGATATAAACATAAAATCATTCAATAGTTTAAAAGCCATAAGGATATCTGTGGGGTCCTTTTATCACTATCAATAAATACCAAATAATTTTCACCAAATTTCTTAACAGCCTTTACAAAACCTTTTTTTTTATGTTTTCCAATTCTACCTAATGAGTTCTGTATTATCTTAAAGGGTATCTCCAGCTAAGACCATGCTTATTTTCAAGTAAAGTTTGGGCTTAAATCAGAAATTATGGCTCTGACTTATCTTCAACCTCTTTTCCTAGATGCTCTGGTAATCACTTTTATAACTTTACCAATGAGCAAATATTTTTTAAAAGCACTTATATAATAAGAGAGTACAGGCGCCTTTGGTATCCTGCCAAGAGTACTTCTTTCCGTGTTTGTATTTAAAATAGAATGGTAGTAACATCACTTGTGTGCCTGAAATTCCTTCTGTGCACAGGCTCAGAATGAAAAAAATGGATGTAGCAAACCGCTTCACTGCTTTGCCATTATAAAGCTCAAAGGAAATAACACATTCATACTAAATTAAGACGAAGACACAGAACAAATTATCCAAAGCTGGGGGTGTAGGGGTGGGGAGGAATTCGGTTGAACTAACCTGCCAGCCCTTCTAAAACAGAGGATGTTTAACCTGGCAGCACTAGGGTGTCAAATGAGCTGCAATGGCTCAGCCCAAGCAGGTGATGCAGGCAGCAGAGAATAAGTGCTATGGTGACAGAAAAGCCAAATAAACACTGCGCTGCCCCGAGCCCCCGCGGCAGTCACTCCCCAGTCCGCGCGGGCTCCGGAAGGCAGGCACCGGAGCCCAGCCCGCCCCCGCCGGACTGTGCAGAAGAGGATTCGCTCACCTGGGTGGGAAAGAGTCAAGAAAGATGTTCAAGAAGCCACCACTGCCCTTAACGAGACTCTCATCCCGGACCGGGTTCCCACACGCCTCCTCCTCCTCCTCCACCAGCTCGAGTTTTCTATCTGGCGACAGGTTTGGACGGTGCTGACCGGCCAAGGAGGTCCGCAAAGGAGGGGAGGGCGACAAACTTGCCGCGACAAGCCAGCAGAGGTGGCGCAGGTGGCGGAGGCAGGGTCGCCCCCGCGCCGGCTCCTCAGCCCGGCCCCGCCGCCCGCCCACGCCCGCCGGCGCCCGCCCGCGCCCC